TTTCTCAATGGAGTTATGTTGGTCTCTTCCCTTCTTGTAAGTCATTCGACTCTCTCTCTCTCTATATATATATATATGTGTGTGTGTGTGTATTTGAGAGCGTGTGTGTGAGAGATCTCCTTGTCAAAATGGGGTTCTTGAGATTCTGTTTATGTGTTTTGTTTCAATGCAGTTCCTTAATGGTGTGTTGACCAAAAGCAAAAAAGGAAAAAACTTTACATGTATAATAAACATTAAGCTCCAGTATAGTGTAGTTTTCATGGGTTTTGTTGCAAATTTTCTTCTAAAATAAAAATAAAAAGACAATCTTTTTGTGGTCTTAAATCTTAGCCATTTCAGTTGTTTAGCCTGGGACTGTTTATTTGTCTCATAAATTAGTTTTCTTTGTGTACTTTTATGCCTTTAAATTCCAATCTTATACTATGTATATGAGGCATAAAAATGCACTTACCTCTGTTAGTTTATATAAGTGTCCTCAATTTTGCAATGAAGGATTGAACTAAAAAGAGAAGATATTTTGGTTTTATCTGTAAACTTTGTGTGAAGATTCTTTCTCTAATGTTTATTATTCTAATATTCTCCATGTCATTGCACATTTCTATCTCTTTATTTGTTTTTGTTGGATACAAGTAAGTTGGCTGCTCGGGATTGAGGTTTCTTATGAAATGAGACGTGGTTGAAGTATAACATCACTGTTGATCTTTCATAAAAGTAGGTGCATTGAATTTATTCATGCTGCTGTATTGAGCAATAGTATTTTGTAATAGCACAACCTGACATAGGTCTTGTGATACATGGTCTTGTGATACATCTCTTACTTAGAGAGAATGCACCAGAGTGAAAATTCTAGCACAATTATTGAGAAGCTGCTTAATTGAATAACTTTTGTATAGGCTGTTAAAAATGGTCGAGATCCAACACCAAGTGAGTTGCATTTGCACGTCCATACACATAGTACTGATGGAACATCTTTTGTTGCTGAGAAATCCCGAATCGTACATGTAAGATAACTTTTTAAATAATTTTATTGACTTTACTTTCATATATATTTTTTCATTTTGTAAATTGAATGCTCAATATTATTTAGTTTTTTATTTCACTAATTATTTACTTTTCTACGGGAAAAATATCAGGAGATATTACAACAACAAACGCAAACTCAATATGATATTAATCAGTGTAAAGCATTTTATCAAGCCGCGGGAGGAGAAAAGAAAAGAAGAATATATGATCTTGGATCTCAAGAAAAATGCTACTACGGGCCAGATCTTCATGGATCTTTTGGATCTGATGCTACATCGTCAGCAACACCTCCAAATGCTCAATCAACACCGATAGGGAATCTGGATGAGTTAGTGATGCGATTGATTCCTGCACTGACAGATCATATAGTTCCTGTAATCATTGAGCGGGTACGCGAATTAGTTTCCTTACCCTCGCATCAGCCAAATACTGATGTGGCACCTACAGTTCCTACATCCTCTACTGCTGCTAACATTGATGAGGTTCATCCATTGGGTTCTGATGATGACCGTAACTCTCCAGCCTCACATAGTTAGCCTACTTTATTTGGACTTTANATTAGTTTTTTTAGAGCACTAATTATTTACATTTCTACAGGAAAAATATCAGGAGATATTACAACAACAAACACAAACTCAATCTGATATTGATCAGTGTAAAGCATTTTATCAAGCTGCGGGAGGAGAAAAGAAAAGAAGAGTATATGGTCTTGGATCTGAAGCAAAATGCTACTACGGGCCAGATCTTCATGGCTCTTTTGGATCTGATGCTACATCGTCAGCAACACCTCGAAATGCTCAATCAACACCGATAGGGAATCTGGATGAGTTAGTGATGCGATTGATTCCTGCACTGACAGATCATATAGTTCCTGTAATCGTTGAGCGGGTACGCGAATTAGTTTCCTTACCCTCGCATCAGCCAAATACTGATGTGGCACCTACAGTTCCTACATCCTCTACTGCTGTTAACATTGATGAGGTTCATCCATTGGGTTCTGATGATGACCATAACTCTCCAGCCTCACATAGTTAGCCTACTTTATTTGGACTTTATTGTTGGTCCTTATGGATTTTTGTACTTAATTATACGATTATATGCATTATGCTATATATTTTGGACCATGTTAAATATATTGTTAATTTATATTAATATCAGTGACTTTTTATTAAATGTATTTAATTAATAGCTTTTATATAATATGCTTGAACAGATTACATTTAAAATAATAAATAAAAAGAATTTTTAAAAACAACAATATATTAAAAATAAATTAGCGACGGATGCTTTTCGTAGCTACAATTATCGCGTAAAATTAAATCTTGCGACGAATTGGCGACGAAAGATTTTTATTGCNGACGAAAGATTTTTGTTGCAAAATGCCGGGAGAATTAGCTATAACACGTCTAGCGACGGACGATTTCGTTGCTATAGGAACAAACGACGAATTTTGTTATGTATTGCAGCGACGAAAGGCGTCAAAATTGCGACAGAAACAAGCAATACAGCGACGCTTATTTCCCTCGCAAAACTTTGCTACAGATATATTCCGTCGCTAATCCGTCGCCAATTCTGCGACGATTTGGTTTTTTTCGTCGCTATGAGCTTAGCTACGAGCATTTTAGGGACAAACTTGAATCCATCGCTAATTTGTCGCTAAACAACTGTAGCGACGGAAAACATTGATTTAGCGACGAAATATGGCCGTCGCTAAACGCTGTTTTTTTTGTAGTGTTTCTGTGTTCTCTTTTTTGCCCCTTTTCTTTTACTTTCTCCTCTTTGTGTTGTTCTTCTCTAGACTCTTGAATAATGAAATTGCATCAATAGGATTCTAATCTCGAGAGAGATAGCAATAATTGGCTTTTGATTAATATATAGGTAGCTCGATCTGTAGGACACTTGGATGAAAAAATAGACTTAACAAGTACTATACACCAATACATAGAGAGTAAAATAAGGATATTTAGTTAATATTTTGAAGTATTCAATCACCGATAATACAACGGTCAATCCATGAGTAGGGTTGAGAATCCCAAATTCTAAGAAAACTTGCAATAAAGCTATATTATCAATATAAGGAAACAGAGAAGTTTTAAATACTTCAAACATTCATTTTGAGGGGGGAAACTTTGTAGTAACATGTCAAAGTACGAAGGTACATTTTAATTTCAATTGAGCACAAAAATAATTTATGTCCTAATGCTATATGTGTTTTCTGATGAAATGACCATAATGAGATTCTTACATGAAAAAAAACTACAAAGAATTACCCCTCGAAAGCAAAATAGGCTATATTTTAAGATGCTTAGCTAGCATGATGATTCTGGCGATGAAGAGAAAATTAAAAGAGATTGCAAGAAATGAATTTGCAGCTTTAATTGCATAATGTAATTAGCAATTTCAAGAAGCAGTTGATGAGAATGTAGTTGTCTAGCGCCTGGGATTAGCGTTTGCAGCTTCACCACCTTGTCTTGCTGCTGTTGAAGATTAACACAGCCGATATTTGATCTTTTCCTAAAGGACTTCAGTTTGTAAGAATCTGGTGGCATTCTTCTTGTGGGTGCCATCAGATTCAGACATTGCTTTGCTTGCACTGCAACCCTCATTGTGAGTAATTATTTCAAATATGTGTGGTTCAAATCTTAAATGCAATGTGAGAGATTTTAATGTAAAGTTCAGCTGTGATAGTACTTAATCAAGCAAGCTTTAATACTATGAGTGTAGTCTTGGGTCTTGATGTGGGTAATAGGCATAACTGTTGGTTGCAATTGGTTGACTCGTTTATTTACAGAAAATGTCTGAAACCAATACATAGAATCGAAGTAAGTTGAAGTGTCCGCACACTACTGGCAGAACACCTTTTGCTCTAATTCGCAAGGTTTGATGTTTTATCTTTCTTATTTTTTTTTTTTTTTAAATTATGAACTTGCTAACTTTATATGGAAAGATTCTTATACCTGTTTTCATGTAACTAGGAAAAAAAGAAGGAAATCTCTGATACTTCAGATACTCTGTCAAGTAAGGACATCTTTGTGGCTACAAGAAAAAGAAAACTTGGTAGAGTATACAAAAACTCATATGTCAATACGATTAGTAAAATTGTACGAGATTTCTAATTTAAAGTTTGTCGTGATTATTTATTTGTTCTTAATTATTGATTCAATTTTAGTTACTTAAAACTCTTTTCTCTTGTATTTGGTTTGTAGGCTGAAATGGAGAGAATACAATCAACTCAGGAAAGTAAAGATGACAGTCATTCAATTGACACTTTTGCATCAGTCATGGGACATGAACATCCAAGTGGTGTGAGATTGTATGGACGAGGGGTTACCAAGACTTTGTTAAAAGGGCAAAAAGGGAATCTTGGATCTTCTTTAGATGCTAATGAGAGGATGCAATAGAAAATAGAGGAAATGGAAGAGAGGATGCAACAAAGAATGCATGAAAAGTTGAACAAACAAAAGAATGCTGTGGAACAAAATATTACAATGAACATCATCGCACGACTTCAGTGTTTGAACCCAGATTTGTGACTTGATCCTGACATGTTAAGGCTCAGTGCACGTTCACTTGTAGATGCTTCCTCTGCACAACAAGCTGGTGTTCAACTAAACAGTCGACCATCTGCTGGTAGTAACAATCAAGGTCAGTACGTACCAAATTGCGACGACCTGGCCAGTCATCTCATGAGCTAACACTCCATTTCCCCCATTTCTGCTTCTTATTGCATTGTTCAGTTGTATTTCATGTCATTGGATTGATCGGTTCAGGTTCGGAGAGGTTTTGGCAAGGTTTGTGGCAATTAGTCTCTTTTGAGGAAGCTTAAGTTGGAAAAGTCAATTGGATGTTGACTTATCAGTTAGAGGGCTCGGATGTGAGTTTCGATAGTTCGAAAAGCTTCGGGAGGTGATTTGGTACTTTGGAGCGTGATCGGGATGTGTTTTGGAGGTTCGGAGTAGATTTAGACTTGAATTGACGAAATTGAATTTTTGGCGTTTTCTGGTTGATAGGTGAGATTTTGATATAGGGGTAGGAATGGAATTCCGAGAGTTGCAGTAGTTCCGTTGGGTCATTTGGGATGTGTGTGCAAAATTTCATGTCATTCGGACATGGTTTGGTTGGGTTTTGATCAAAAGCGTAATTTAGAAGATTTTGAAAACTTAGGCTTGAATCTGATGTGTTTTGGTTGATTCGATGTTGTTTGAGGTGTTTTGAAGATTGGTATAAGTTTGAATAAGGTTATGGGATATGTTTGTGCTTTTGGTTGAGGTCCCGGGGGCCTCGGGGTGATTTCGGAGGGTTGACGGAGAGTTTGGGAGNTGTCATTCGGACATGGTTTGGTTGGGTTTTGATCAAAAGCGTAATTTAGAAGATTTTGAAAACTTAGGCTTGAATCTGATGTGTTTTGGTTGATTCGATGTTGTTTGAGGT